AAAGATAGGTAGATAGGTAAATGAATAGACAGATATATAAATAATAGATGATAGATAGAGATATATAGATGATAGATAGAGATAGATCATATATAGATATAGGCAGATAGATTAGATAGATAGATAGATAGATAGATAGATAGATAGATAGATAGGTAGATAGATAGAACTGCTCTGCTTTTCTTTCCCTAAGGTCGTACCATTTTTCCCTTCCAAGTACTGATACTTCACTCTATCTTAAAGAAGGAACACAGTGTTCACTCTTCTAGTAATTGCTTCAAAACATTTACAATATTGTGTTCTAACTGTAGAAAATCAGAAAACTGTATAGATTTGTACATGACTGACTGAATGTAAGATCTGCCTGTCTTTGCCATAAGTAAAAGACAGAGATAAATTTTAGTAGCACTGATTAACATGCACTTCTTTGATTACTTATGATTTTGAGCTACTCTATATATTTGAAATTTATTTTACTATTTATTTACTTGTATGTGCATATGTATTTCACATGTATACATATGGGAGACATTAGAAGAATCAATCCTCATAATTTTATAATCTCATTATTATGATCTATTGAAATTGGTCCAATCCACTAAAATTAAGAAAAATGAAGTCAAGCTAAGGAATATTCATTATTACTCAACAAACATTTATCAGCTGTCTAATATGGTCGAGAAAATGCATGGAGGATATAATGTTGAAAAATTAGCATTCATTTTTGTAGTGAAAAACAATCAGTGTTTGTATTGTTAATATAAATGAATTAAACACTTAATATATATTAATATGTAGATTTCATGCAATGTGCCCTTTACCACTGAAGAGTGTAGAATAAGAAGGAACAAATAGTTAATTGCTTCATAATCCAATCCAGAAACATTAATTTTTATGGGGAGTCAATCAGTGAGACGCAAGGATTTCTATCATGCATAGATTTTATTAGGCTTCAAGTTATCTTAAATTGTGGCTTTACGGACTCTTATTTATGTATAGTACAAAATAATTCTTATGATATTGATCTTGAGTTTTCATTACAGGTACTCCCAGTAGTATTTTTGTGTTTGTGACCTTTTAGCTTTTTCCTCTAACCTTTAACACATGACATTCATTCATTTGTCCTTCTGCAATGGAAGACACACTCCTTCTAGCTTCTTAGGATTTCTGGCTCAAATTTCGCATAAATTTTCTTTCATTTTTAAAGATTTATTTATTTCATATATGTGGTTATACTGTTACTGTTTTCAGACACAGCAGAAGACAGCATCAGATCTTATTACAGATGGTTGTGAGCCACCATGTGGTTGCTGGGACCTGAAATCAGGACCTCTGAAAGAGGAGTCAGTGCTCTTAACCGCTGAGCCATCTTTTCAGCTCAAATTTTCTTTTCTTAAATCTCTAATAATTTGTAACCCCTTAACCCTCCTGTATTTAGTCTGTGTGCTTGAGGAAAGAGTAACTGAGGTTCTACTAAGAGGGTAAAGGCTGACACAATTATGGGTGCTATGATGCGTTTACAGACAGGAGCCATGGCTCTCCTCTGAGAGGCCCAACCAGCAACTGACTGAGACAGAGGCAGATACTTACAGCTAACCATTGGACTGAGATCTGGGACCCCTATAGAGAATTTAGGGGAAGGATTGAAGAAACTGAAAAGGAGAGAACTCTATAGGAAGATCAGCAGTCTCAACTTAATCACACCCCTGCAGGCTACCTGTGTGTGTGTGTGTGTGTGTGTGTGTGTGTGTGTGTGTGTGTGTGTTGCAGAGCACTGCCTAGTCTAGCCTCAGTAGGAGAAGATGCGCCTAATCCTCCAGAAGCTTGAGGTTACAGAGAAGGACAATGCCTGGTGGGGTGGGGGTAGCACCCCTCTCAGAGGCAAGGGAGGGGGAAGGGACTGTTGGAGGGGGAGGAGGCAATGGCTGGAATGTAAATAAATAAAATAATTTTAAAAAACCTCTTCAAAGTAAAATAAAGGAAAATATATACAAAACTTAAAAAAAAAGGAAGGTAAAACCATGACAAGCTGTGACACAAAAGCTATGTGTGTGGGGGTCCTTAGAGCAGTGATGGTGGTGTTCTGGGATGCACCGATGCTCACAGATGAGAAGTGCTACAAGGGAGTGATGCAACCTGGAATACAGAACTGAAAGCAGCTCTTAGTCTTTTTCAAGACCCCAAAACATGGAGGCGATTGTCAGAAGTTCCCTGCCACCACTGATGTAGAGATAGCAAATATAAGAAAGAAACATACAACAGGAAGAGTTATCAGTGCTAACAAAGACACAGAGATTTGGTGTACTCTGCTTGAGTTGAGAATCACAAATTATTAAACTATGATTTACCCTCTGAAGTCTGGAGTTTATCATGGAAAGGAGTTCGAAAATCAGGAGGTAACCGAAATGTCAATGTTTTTCCAGATGTATTTCTTTGATAACTCTGGTATCCTCTATAATAAACCCCCCTTTCTCAAGGGAAATCTATTTGGCTTAAGTTGAATAAACCCTACAGAACCAAAGGATAGAAATGTGACTAACTAAACTATCCATTTTCCAGGATGTGGTGATTGCTGCAGGCATGTCAGTAATTTAGAATCTCGGAGATTTCTGTTAGAGCAAGCCAAGAAAATTCTTATTACTCCCTGGTTATGGTGGGAGATGTGAATTAGGTAATTGGGACTTTTGTTTGGTTTGCAAAGAAACACAAGAGGACATGGATGGTGTTTGTGAATACAGGATAGCACCCACATGTACTTTGGTATTTCTATTTATAAAGTTTTGGTTACTTACGTCATTACTGAGAAAATGCTTGTGCCCGCATATTGGTGAGTCAATTGCCTCAAAGTCTAACAACCATAGTGACTGTAATTGTTCACCTTTGTTGAGGGATTTTCAAGTTCCAAGTGCCCAATATGTATTGTTTTCGCATGTTCTAAAGTACCAACAGTTCAAAGTATATGGTAGGTAAAGTAGCTTAACAAAGGACATAAAACCAATGCTTTGTGTTTCCTTTCCTTGGAGAATTACAGGCACACACATCCACCAGATAAGAAAAAATCATGCAGATAAGGTTGTGAACACAGATGGATTCCCAAACTGATAGATTCTAAGATGCTACAAATGCAAGTTTCTCACTGGAATTTTCTGTAATAATTCACATGGTAGAATTAGTTGCTCACAACATAAATTTACTTCTGGTGTCTAATGCAGATTGTAAACTCTCCGGGGAGGGGAGGAGAGAAAGAGAGAGAGAGAGAGAGAGAGAGAGAGAGAGAGAGAGAGAGAGAGAATGAATGAATGAATCAGCATCCTTTCCTTACCTCCACCAAGTTAAAATGCTATGCCCTTGCCAAATGGAAAGTTCTTTGCTTTAGTGTATGTGATAGAGGCAGTTTTCAGATTTATGTTTCTTTGGCCATTTCGATTACATTGCTTTTACTGAAGAGCCTCTTACCACAGATACTTCCAGCCTTGATTCAAAGAGAAAAACACATCCTTTTCTAGTTAGCTTGCTTGAAATTGCACCCAGCAACAACAAACCACCAAAACTTAACAATTTTTTCACATAAGTGAATAACTAGATATCATTTTATATACAAGAAACAGGTCATTGTTTGCTGATGGTTGGTGAAAAGCATACATTCAAGTTCTTTATTTTTTTTCCAAAGACACCCAGATTTACACTCAATAATATTTCTGATCCTTACCTACTAAAATTTGCTAAGCTGCTTTTATCCAGCCACTAGAGTACCGAACCAAGTGGAATAGTTTAAAGACTACCAATTCTGTATTCACATCCATGTGAAAACTCAGAACGTGAACTAATTTAGAACTAGAATTTATCCACATATAATTAATTATAACAAAACAGTGTCATAACAGAGTAGAATAGGTACTAAAGCTAAGTCATGGATTTTTATATACAAAGAAGATAATACATAAAGACTGTAGACAGAGGAGAATCCCTAAGGAAGGCACAAGCAGGAACTACCCCAAATCCAAGAATGTCCTGGAAGGTCATGAGACAGTAAATGCTAGGAGAAAATGGGAAGGGATTATGTCCCAAGCCTTCAGGCATTCTTGAACTACACTGACTTTATTTCTGACACGTTGCTTCCAGATCTTTGAGACATCTAAGTTCTGCTTGGTCAGTGGTCCTTTCCCTTGTATTTATGTGGATGATTCATTGGATAATTTAAATGCTAGGTACAAATTATACATAATAATGTGCTGATCAAAAGGCATCCCAAGGCAGGAAAGTCACCATGAATAAAGTTAGAATGCTGTGAGGAAATATTATTAAAATATCCCAATCACGTCTTGGACTCGGGTTATATGTGAGGCAAAACTTACAACCTATTCATCTACAGGCAGTATGGGAATCCATTAGGAATAGTGACCTGAAGCACTCTATCACATTATAAAATACCTTATCCCCTCCACAGCACTGTGCTCACTGAGGCAAGAAGATGGAATGATTACCTTAGAGAGATTTACAGCCACATATTTACAGAGTTGAACTGAAATGGGTTTTCTTTAATTTACTAGAGTTTTCTTTACAGCAGTGTTCATTGGCATTTAGGATTTTTTCTGTTTGCTTAATTCATAGGCTCCTTTTAAGAAACAAACTTGTTTGTTTAAAAATAAATATTTACATGAATCATTTCTTATCGTTTTAGGACAAGTAGAAACACTATGATGATAACCATTGACAGGGGTTTCTCTGCATGTAGATAACTACAAATTGAAAATAGGCTTTAATATTCAAACCTACAGATAGTTTCCAATTATCTTGAAAAATAAAAATCAATGAAATGAAATTCCTTTTATTTCCTAAGCTCATATGAGGTAGTAACTCTTAGCATTATTTTTATTCTCTGTTAGTGCATAACAAACTCAACTTGCAATTAGAATTCTCAAACTTATGGTAAATTCCAATTTGCATTTTTCTGTGTATTCTTTGATTAATGCACAATTTTCCCGTAACATGAAAATTACCTCATTCTGTAAGTCACGGATCATTTTGCTCTTTCTTTCCACTTCAGTCTTCAAAAAATTAATCTGAAAACAAATAAAATATTATGGATATACATTCTCAATTCATTATCGTGTTTTTTACTTTATATCATTTTGAGGTAAACTAAAATTATTACAGTGTTAAACTAAACATTGAAAAAGAAAGGGTTAAAGTCTCTAGTAACAAAAACCCTCATTTCTTTCATCTTTGTTCAATTTGTTCATATGAAAAGCATTCTCATTGCAATAAAACTTGTTTACATTTTTCAAAAACATAATTTTTATTGTAGTGAAATTTATTATTCATGTTTATTTTACTCAATTTATCTACATTATTTTTAAATTAATTATGAAAGTAATTAAGTTTAGGTTACTGATGTAAAAAAATTAATCAAGGTGATGAAGACTACTGTAACTGATATAACTCTAAATACAGTAAATTAAATAATTTGGGTTCTATCAATAGAAGAACAGTCTAATATTAGCTTTACCCTCTACATCCATCCTTTCATGATGATTTCCATTATCATATTTTTCAGGTAGTGTGTATGAGAAATCCACAACACAGTAAAAATTGCCACTAATTTTCACTGCAAAATATAACAGCATTTATTGTCTTTTCTATTGTGTTTTAGTTAAGGCTCCCAGAGAGAGTCAGCAGCTTTGAAGCTCAGGCAGATGGAAGTTGTTACTGACCACCATTTAGGTTGTGATAATTCAAATATGCTCAGATGATTAGCAAAAAGAGAAAAGGTTTCAGAGAGACTGAATGAAGTCAGCATAGATACCTGATAGATAGAGTGGTCATATAGATAGGGAGGTATAAGAATGATTCCAGATGGAATCTCTGATACCTTCAAGAGCTGAAACAGATATACTACATTCTAGAAGATTCATGGTACCTGACTCCTGATCTTTGGTTTCCATAAAGGGATGCTGGAGACTTACATTACCTGTAAGTGTTCTGTCCTTAAGAAAGGCAGTTAATACAGCTTTGTTTGTTACTGAAAACTCAAGTCAACCCATTTGGTAGTGAATATGTACATATATATATATATATATATACATATATATATATATATATGCAGGACATGCTTAAAAACTACCATGTTTATTATTTTGGTCATTAATTGTCAATATAGATTTAAACTAAAGGGATGCTCATGTAAAGGAAATAACATTAACCACAGGCACTGTCCCATTAGGTAGAGAATTCAAAGCCATTAGTAAAACAAAAGGATTACCTGGAAGGCCATGATACTATTTAATATTCTATATGTCTGTAGAACCTGGACATGCCTACTGATGGACAGATTCTATGACTAGTTCTACGTGAGTATTTCATTGGCAACAAAAACTTTAAATCATGAAATAGCAATCTTATTTCCATATATAATCTTTATCACTGATGCCAAGCCCTCTTATATTGATATTCAGTATGTGATAGCTAAAGTTCACACTGATTAGGAATATACTGAAATAGATTACACTATCAAGCCTATGATTCTTTAAATACTCCTCACAGACATAAAATCTTGAGAATATAAAACTCAAATATATTCAGAATATTTAAAATATTAGCATTCTGAGATCACTGGCTTAGAATCCCAGCAGGACTTAACTTCCCTGCAGAAATAAGCATTCCTAGTATTTACTTCAGTGATGGTTTTCAGAGAAAAAATATCAACCATTTGCAAGAACAGTGCTGCCTTATGCTTGCTGAGAATAAAAGCTTTTAGGCAAGTTTTGCTTTAGAATTATATCTCGTCCAGGACAAGTTAAGCCATAAAAGTTAACAAGAGTCATGAAATACATCCAAACACCATTAATATATTTAATTATCATGGTCATACCTGCTAGTTTGTCATCCCTGCTGTCTGCCCGGCTTTGGCAGGGCAAACCCAGAGCTGAATGATTTCCCACTGAAACATGCATGAAGAGATAAAACAAATCCTCATGTCTTCATGAAAAGTGTGTTGGAACATGATTGGATCAAGGTGGATCTACTGATCAAATAACATGAATTTTCAGAAATATATTTTTCTTGCACATTTTATAATTGAATAAACAATTTGTTATTGTGTTTCACTGAATTTTATTTTGGACCATGAAAAAAAATCTTCACTTACTGTAACACTTTTTGGGAGGGGCAGCAAGAGAAACTTACAATTTTTCATTTGAATAAAAAGGGTATAATTTAAAATACAATCAAGGTCACCATAAAAATGTATTATCCCTTTAAATCTCAAATAGATTAGCTGAGGGGAATCACTTGTAAGCTCCTCTGGGAGGAGTTTCTAGAGAGGTTTTATGGAGAAAGGATGGTCAACCTGAATGTGGGTTGCACCACCCTCTGAGTTGAATAAATAAAGAAGAGATAAAACACAGATGGCTGGAAAGAACTTAAGAAATGCTCTGCTCCTTAGTCATCAGGGACATACAAATCAAAATTACTTTTAGATCTTATCTGTACCAGTCAGAATGGCCCAGATCAATAGAAGAAAGCCAGCTCACGCTGCTATGTATGTGGGGGATTGGGTACACATTGCTGGTGGGAGTGCAAACTTATACAGCTATTATGGAAATCACTGTGGAGGTTCTGCACAAGATGGTAATTAACCTACCTTAAGGCTAAGCTATACGACTCTTGGGAATGTGCCCAATGGGCTCTAAATCCTACTACAGAAACACTTGCTCAACCATGTTCATTGCTGCTCCCTTCATAATAGTCAGAAATCAAAAACAGCCTATTTATCTGTATTAGTTTGGGTTTTATTGCTGTGAAGGGACACCATCATCAAGGCAACTCTTATAATGAAACATATTGAATTGATGCTGGCTTACAGTTGTAGATATTCATTCAATTATTGCCATGGTGAGAAGCATGGCATTGTGCAAGCAGCCTTATTGGCTGAAAAAAGCCAAGATTTCTACATGGTGATCGAAAGGCTCAAGGAGGAGGCTATCTCCCCCAGGCATCCATATTTGCTAATTTACTATCAGGGCATGAGAACACTGTTCCCATTTGCATGTGAGTTTTGTACCCTCAAATATGACTTTCTGGTAAAGATGTTTTTGGTTTTGGTATATGATCATGACATCTACAAAACTGATACTTTAAATTTTACTTCTCCAATTGGGATGTTTTTACTTCATTTTTCTGACTAATTACATTGATGAAGACTCCTCTGTACCATGTTGAGTAAAAATCATGAAAATGAGCATTCTTGTCTTGATCCAAGTGTCAGAAATCTTTTAACCTCTTCATATAAAATATAGCATTAGGTTTTAGATTATGTAAGTGATCCATATGTTAACAGATAATCCTCTTTTTCCTAATGTGTTCAGTTTTTCTCATGAAGTGACTTTGCTTTGTATCAAGTGCTTTTTGTGCATATCTTGATCATGTGGCCTTTATCCTTCACAATGTTTATATTTTTTTAAAATTTTTTTATTGGATGTTTTATTTACATTTCATATGTTGTCCCCTTACACCATCCCCCACCCACCCAGGAACCCCCTATCCCCTCACCCCTCTTCTTCTCTGTGGATGTAACCTCTATCTACACCCCCACTCCCACCTCCCCACCCTCAAAATTCCCACCCCCTGGGGTGTCCAGCCTTCATGATGTCAAGGTTCTCTTCTTCCACCTATGCCCAGCAGGGCCCTCCACTCATACTTATTCAGCTGAAGCCCTGGATCCCTCCGTAAGTGCTCCCAGGCTGGTGGTTTAGACCCTGGGAGTTGTGGTTGGTTGGTATTGTTGCTCTCCTCATGGTGCCACAAACCCTTTCAGCTCCTTCAGTCTTCACTCTAACTTCTCCATTGAGAACCCCATTATCAGTTCAATGGCTAGTTGTGAGCATCTGCCTCTGAATATGTCAGACTCTTGAAGACCTCTGAGGAGACATCCATATCAGGCTCTTATCAGCATGCACTTCCTGACTTCCACATCAGCATCTACCTTTGGTGACTGCACATGGGATGGATACTCAGGTGGAATGGTCTTCAGATGGCCCCTCCTTCAGTTTCTGTCCCTCACTTTGTCTCCATATTTGCTCCCTTGAGTATTTTCTAAGAAGGACCAAATCACCCCCACTTGGTCTTCCTTCTTTATGAGCTTCATGTGGCCTGTGAGTTGCATCTTGGGCATTTCAAGGTTCTGGGCTAATATCCAATAATCAGTGAGTGAATACCATGTGTCTTCTTTTGTGATTGGCTTACCTCACTCAGGATGATAATTTCTAGTTCCATTCATTTACCTAGGAACCTCTCGAATTCATTGTTTTTAATAGCTGAGTAATACTCCATTGTGTAAATATACCACATTTTTTGAATCCATTCCTCAGTTGAAGGACATCTGGGTTCTTTCCAGCTCCTGGCTATTATAAATAAGGCTGCTATGAACATAGTTGAGCATATGTCCTTGTTATATGTTCGAGCATCTTCTGGGTATATGCCTAGGAGTGGTATAGCTGGATCCCACAATGTTTATATTTATGCTTCCATTATTAATGTAAATATTTGAAACATCCTTGGATTCCTTTTTATAAAATCACTTTTAAAATCATGAATAAACTTTTTAAAACTTGCTAATATGATAAGTTTGATGTCATTTTGTTTAGTATAACTGTTAACACTGTTCATAAGACAATTTCTTGTCATCCCCTCCCAATACACACTGCATGGCCTTATTTAGCTTTGTACAATACAGCTGGGAAAATTTCATTGTTTCTTATTTATTTAACATTAAGAATAACCTCAATAAATTGGTATTAATTCTTTTTTATTATTAAACATATTTAAAGAAATCACTTAGTATTTCTTTGGAAACTATTATTTTTATTTGAATATCACATTATTATAAATGATACTGAGAAATTTGGTCTATATTTTTATAAATTAAAAAATCACTTACACATTATAAATAATGTGATTATAATAAATTACAATAACTTGCAATATAGAATTAGTATTCTTGGATATATAGAATTTCTTATGTCTAAACACATCTTATTTCTGTAATATATAATATTTTTATCTGTTCATAATATTTATTGGAGATTTCTTACGTATTTGCAATAATTTACACTATTGATTGTATCTTTAAAATATATTCTCATTTCCTCTGTATTGTTATTACTTATATACTGATGGGTTTTGAAGCTGCACATGTAAAGTCATACTGTGAGGGCAGAGTAGTCTATAATGATTTCAGTTTTCCCTGGGTTTACAAAGCTATTGCTTGTCATGTCTTTGCTCTGTAAAGTATTTTTGTTTAGTATTTTGCCAATTATTTTCCTTAAAAGTTATTTTGTATGCATTCTTCTAATTTGCTCATTATAAATAGTAATATTTTCCATTTTAAGTGCAACATTTTAAGTATATTTTCCCATTCTAATTTTATTTTGTCCTACTTAAGATTCTGTGTTAATGCAGTTAAACTATTGTAATTCAGTGTGGTTTCTAATACACTAGAATTTCGTTAGATTGGAAGCTTGCTTACTTTCCTCCTTGCATTTAGCAGTTCATTATTAATTCTCTTGTTATGTGAGGGTGACTAGCACATACAGTGTTCTTACCACAACTCACGTAGAGATTTGATCAGTCCCCTGTCCCAGAATGGCCTAAGTTGCCTTTCTCATGAAAATTCACTTGCATAAAGAGTTCCCACTCTGGAAATCTGATGTCTGAATGGAAAGCTACTGCTTTATGTGTTATCACCATCGCTTCCCTTTCATCTCCTTCTTATCACTTTGCAGGGAAGATCAAAGGAAACCAAAGGAGTCCTTTCTTTTTTGCACCCAGAGTCATCTCAGGAAAGGCTTTCTTTGAAGTCGGTCACCTGGAATCATTGCTTTATTCTCTGAGCTGCTCTTTTAGTAATGCATATATTTCATGATTTTGCCATCACATTGGAGAATGAATGTGCACATTTTTCAAACTTCAATACAAGAATTAAGCAAATCTCATGGTTTTGACATCATCCCACTATCCAAAACTAGCAGTTTAAATTGAAGTCTTTCACAGCTTACGTTGAAAATGATTCTTTACTTTGTAATATTCCAACAAATACAATGTATAAAGGATATATATATATACAAAATACAATCGTAATTAATATGTAATATAATACAGTTTTATATATATATATATATATATATATATATATATATAATACAATTTGCTATAATACAATCGTTTGCTTCGTAATGGAGGATCATTCAAAAAAAATGTGTTCATATTCACTTTTTATATGTCTAAGTTAATATAAACATAGGAAGGTATGTAATTTAAAAAATTTTTAAAACAATTATAGTAAATAACAAAAAGAACCTGACTGAATGCAAGAAAATACAATGCCTTATCAAAATTGAATTGTTTTGTAATTATGACTGAGGATAAAGTTTGAAATGCTTAGTCAGTGATCACTGTCAGATAAGTGGTCCAGCTCACTACTATAAGAGGGCCCCGTTTTGACCCAGAATCTGAGATAACTTCATACAGTTCATTGTCAGCTGTAAGAGTAGCTTATATAAATCCATGTATAGTATCTGGATAGTGTAATTAAATGATTTTGATTAATAATGTCTTAGAGCTGAAACATTAAAACATCCTAAATGATTAAGAATAGACTACATTATTTGAATTTTCCCTTGTCAGATATAAATCCTATGTCATCCTTGATAATGTTTAAGGCGACATTAGGAGGCAGTAGTGGTGATGATAGCCTACAATTTCGATGTTAGTTACAATTCATTATCCACCCTGCTTAGAACCATGTGTGAACAGAATCATAATTACCTAATGAATAGCTTCATAAGTATCCCAAGTAGTCAAAAAGAGAGCCTGAGAAAGATGAAATGATATATGAATGTGGAGTTAAAATGATGAACAGAGATGGAAGGACAGAATGTCACTTTCATGTCTACTATAGTCTATATGCCAGATGTAATTATACTTTTAGTATAATATTTATTATTTTAATGTTATACACTGTTTTAATTGGATAAATAAGCAAACTGGCAGAGCTTGATCAAGTCCACAAAACACATGATCCAATAGGAATTACCCTCAGAATAGCATGTCAATGCAGTCCTTGCTAACAGTTTCAGGTTTAGAATAAATGTTAGAAGGGTAGGGATAGGGGCGTTAAGGCTTTAAAATTCATGAGAGAGGTACTGAGAGCATGTTGGCTGGAACACTGGGACCATATTCTGCACCCATGACATTTCTACAATTGGTTATTCTCTCTTTGTCCTGTGCTCTTTCAAGATTAACAGTGTTCTCCTCAGAATTCTGTCTACATAAAGTGTTAGAATTGGCATGGTTTGTGTGTTAGTAGCTCTGCCCACTATCAAGAGAGTTATTTACCTCCTGTGAGTTATAACTCTTTGGGAAAGAATCAATAACACAATATGGCTTTATTACAAGGGTCTGAGAAAAAAGTGAATAGAGTATGTCTGTTCTCAAGACCATTGCTTTCTATCAGATTAAATTTCCCAAGATAAATTCAAATAAAGTCTGTGGTCAAAGCAGGAATGGGATTGCAGACAGAGTCATCCAACAGTTGTTGAGGAAAAGAATGACTAGGCAGGTGCTAAAAATTGTCCATTCTTTTATAATACATTTAGTGTCCAGATAGCCAAGCATTAGACCATCCAACATAAAATCACTGAGTGTTTTCATGCCATCCAAGTATGCGTTATCTTGACAGATGGAAGAGATAATGAGAAATTCTTAACAGGAAACAATCCGGCACACAGCAGAGCAGACCATCATTGAGAGAAAGGCTGCCCTTAGGAGTCAGCTTGTCTCAGGTGACAAACTGAACTGAGTTTCAGAAGCAAAGTTCTACAATCTTATCTAAGTTGTTAGAAGCTTTGCAAATAAAAGGTATACTACAGTGTTTAGTTAGAGTGTCTGAGATTCCAGTAATTGGCCAAGATGGATACCTGAATTAATCTTGTTTCTAGTTTCTAATTATAAGGCTTTATTTTATTGGTATTGCAGAGTCTGTTCAAAGAACTATGTGCCAACCAAAGACCAGCTTCATTCTGTCTAGCCCAATAATGTACTTGAAATATTCTCTATTTCCTTGCCTCCCTCAATGTATCCACAATAGTTCTTATACTCTCAGGACCATGCTTTCAAATAACAATCAACCAGTTCAAGAATTATGCCCTTTAGCACCTCTCCAAACCACTCCAGACATGCCCTCTTGACCTTAGGGGCAGATACCCATATTGTAGAATACCTCCTATGTCTTGTGGCTATTGTAGTTGTTCACCCAGCCCACACTAGGCCTTTTTTAGCTGTCTCACCTTTATATTTCTGAAATCACAATAGGGTCTCCTGTGCAGTTCTGCCTGGTGGCTATCTCTAGCCTTCTCCATGTGGGCCCTGAACATGACATAACCAGTGATGATGATTCTTCTTTTCAATAATGTATTCAAATCTGTTGACCTCAAAAAACACATTTTCTATGGCACTATATATTATATTTTCAAAAGCAGATTCAGGCACTAGGTATGAGATAGAAATCTTATCCTTATAAGTGGTACAAAAGTGACTCGGAAATGAAGGTGAGATCTGTAGCCCAGCATTTATTAAGGAGCCTATTTTCCTGTCTTGGGTGAATATCAGTGGTAAGAACCAAAGTGTGAAGGTCACAAGGACATCATCTTGGAAAGATGTGGGGATCTGTTGGCCCATTAATCTGTGTCTTACTCTGTGAATAGTTTTTAGGACTAATGACTAAGCAGATAGTATGAGCCTGCACCTGAGTGATCACGTGTCATGGATGTCTGAGACAGCTTAAAGATCTGTATAGACTAACTGGCTTTCAGTACAGCTTCCATCCCAACCATGAACTGTTAATGTGAGCCTGAGCCAGTTCCCTCTCTCATTGGCCTCTTGGTTTATCTTAAAGAAATAGAGAACAGGAGGAGCTAGAAGACCCTCAAGGCCCCTTATACAGATCAAAATGACTGAAGTTTCTGTTATGGTGACTTTATTTTTGATTTTTAGGGTGTATCTTTATAGTGCCATGAGAAAAGTAAGAAATGAATTCTCAGTCCCAAAGCTAATAGGCAAAGAAGAAACATAAACCCACTCACTGTGGCCTGGTGTTTCTCTGCTTTCTCAGATGTCTCTTTAAGTTGATTCTGCAGAGCTTCCTGAAGAGACTTCATTTCTTCCCTAGGTTAGTAGAAAAAAGTGGATAGAGGTGATGTCACATGATTCTACTATTTTCCATGACCTTTGCAAAGAGAAGTTTGTATATCTATCTAAACTTAAGGAGCAGTTAATTATAATTATGAAAGGCTACAGAGATACAGAAAGATGCATCTAAATACTCTGGTAACAAAAGGCTGTCTTTCATGAAAATACTAAAAGCTGGTTATATTTAAAGGATATCACCTTGTCATTGTCTTTTTATAAGAATCCCACAGTGTGAGTCACTGTGAACAATGAAATATGTTCAATTAACCCAATGCAATAATTTGAATTGGAAAGCTAATTTTACTAACATCATGTAGGGCATGAACATGCTGGGTCAAAAATCATTATAGAATTCTAAAAGACATTATTGTAAATTTCTGATCATCATAATTTAGTAATTCTATAGCATTTTGGCTTTGTATTCCTGAGAATATTTTATGGAATCATAAGAGAAAGAGGTTTAGTTCTAACTATGGCTTCAGAGGCACAGGAAAGAAAATATATGACTCTACATGCATAAACATTATGCCTCAAGATCATTAGTATACCTAAAATACACCTTTTAAAAAAATAGGGGTTGGTGGAGAAAAACAAATATCACATTGTCTCTCCTATCCATAATGTAAGTCAAGAAATGTTCTCAATATAAGCATTGAGGATATGAACAGATGATAGTAAGGCAGTGAATATGAATAAAGTATGGTGGGTGTGTGTGCATGTGAATGTTATGATGGAAGCCACTATCTTATGGCTTATCTAACTTACAATGGTTATTTTCTGTATTCCTGTTAGGAACTTAGAATCCATGCATATTTGATAAATTATACTTACTTGTTTTAACTTGATTTTTAATCACTCAGAATATCACCTCAAAAATATTATGGTATGTGTGTGTATGTGTGTACAATAGAGTGCACATATATGCTAAAGGACCATGCCAGAGAAGCTGTTCAAAATCAATAGCAACAAAGCAGAGCACTGCTCTATTCCATGAGAACCAAAGCTAGTTGAAGTTCTGCAGTCAATTGTGGGGAAACTAGCTCTGTTAATTTGTATAAGTGATAAAGTTCCTTTTTGTAAATTTCTTTATTTAAAACTGGTCGCAATAATATAGCCATTTTGTAGTTTTGTGGCAAAGTTTAGATGATCGAATAAACTAAATGTTTAGCACAAAGCCTGGAAATGCAAATTACTTATTCTACATACATTAAAGAAACAAGCAAACAAACACTCAACCCCGTTGAGAGCTCATGCACATTTTTTTTTAGCAGGAAGCCCCACAAGATGGAGTGTTACCCTTTTCTCTGCTGGGAGTATTCTGTGTCTCTTAGATTTCTGCTCTAGGTACTGTGATCATGCAAATTCATTCCGGAGAAAGGGAGAGAGACAGAGAGAGAGAGAGATAGAGAGAAACAGAGTCAGAGAGACTGAGAGACTCAGAGACAGAGACAGAATACATTTGGAATCATTCGTTGTGATCCTGTCCAAATTCTTCTTAATTCATAGTCTAAAGCTAAATTCTAGTTTTTTTGGGAGAGTTACATATATGAACAATTAAGTGTGGAATAACAGATTATTACAAAAAAATTTGTGAGATAATAATTAAATATTATAATATATAAATATTAATGACAAAATAACATAAAATAAAATATGATCATATGCAATAGATACACATACATATATTATCTATCAAAGTATGATACCAATTCAAAGTATGATATCTGCAGCTTATAGAAAACTGGTGTACAAAGGGGTTCATGCTCACCTGTAGGAAAGAATTATACTACTTCTACTGAGAGGGAAAAGGGAAGGAAGAGTGCTAGGGAGGAAGGAAGGAAATAGTCTTCAATTACAGGTTGAAATATGAATTATACATTCAACGAAATAACTTACTTTTCATTCTAGATTTTATGTTCAAACTATCCATTGCTAGTTTCAAACAATGAGTAATATATTTAATAAAATTATATTATCGGGGATGAGGGAATAAAAATATCTTGTATTCTGGTATGTAAAGGTGAATAGGGAACAAGACAAAACATCAATGACATCTGTTACTAAAAGTTGGAGTAAAGGCCTGGGAAGTAGTTTAAAGTACTTGTTTCTCATGCAGAAAGACTAAGGTTCGATTCCCAGCACTAATGCTGTGACTCACAACCATCCATAACTCAAGTTCTAGGGAACAAGCTGCCCTTTTCTGACTTCTAAGAGAACTAGGTGTGCGTGTGGTACATGGATACACATAGAAAAACACTTATGCAATAAAATAAAATACACAAACATATATAAAGAAATATAACATTTTAAACTGGTAGGAGCAGAGAATTTTGTGCATATCTATGTAGAACATAGCTATTAAGTGTGATGGACAGTTAGGTCTTACATCTACTAACCAACTGTCACCACATTTTGTTCTGTCTTCCTTAACCAGCCCACTGTTCTCATAGACTTACAGTTTCTATGCTATGAGAGAGATGATTCCAGGCTTGCTTGCTTCAGGAGGATTTGACCATACAATTAGGCCTGGCTGCTTCACAGCCCCTTTGGCACAGAACTGAATATCTAGTTCTAAGAATGGGTGGGTCGTGTGACACAGTGAGATTGTTCATATGCTTGGCTATATTAGTATAGGTTTCCATATTGTGCAAGCATTGGGAAGCTTCTTTGTATAACGTTCATTTATATTTCTCTCTCGGCAAGACCTGCATTTCAGGTGGTGATGAACTGGTATATCAGTCAGTAACTTAGAAAAATCTTGCCACACCCCAGTCTTCCAGTGGTCAATACTCTTATGGTGCTTTGAGTCCTTGTCATTTTCAGGTACTTATCAGCTATTTATAATTCATTATTTTCCTCCATCTCTTTCACACATACACACATATTTCTTGGTCTCTATTGTTAGAAATAACCACCTACTTACCTTTTCATATAGCTATAAATAGATACCTCATATCTTCTAGATTCACGTTAAATTTGTCCCAGATACATAGAAATACTCAAGTAATTTGCTATTTGTTCATGAAAGGAATTCCAGTTTATTCCATTTGGTTTTGAAGAAGTTATCTACTGCTATCGATGAAATTTACTGAGATTTCTATGATGATTTTAATAGTAGACACAAAGTGAGTTATTTATTTTCAACAAGTTTTCTAATTTTGTATAAAACTCTGAAATTTCAGTACCAGCACATCTGGTTTATTTCATCTTTTTATTGGGACAGATGTTCCGTCATCTGAGAACTTGTGTGTAATGTACAAGAGAAGATGATTACTTAAATATATTATATAGACGTAATGCCATCCTTCTAGTTGGCCTAAGGGTTCCACATGTTATTATAAACAGACACAGATACCTAACAAAATATAGTCAAAGTAAAGTACTACATTTTTCCTCAGACACCTTACCTGTACCTTCCTATGATAAAGGCTAAATTTTCTGATACAATATGATTCTACCAAAAGTAAGTCTTCATTTCCTAGTCTTTCCTGTCCTCTAGGAAACATGGCTTCACTACTCTCAACACCTTCTTTTCATTCAAAATGGAGCTGGCATAACCATTCTCCTGAAATTAAATATTCCCCTCCCTGCAGAGCTACCCACTATGAGGTCTCAATGTTGGACACTGAAATCTACTCTGGGGCATCCCTTAAAAAATTTGGCCTCAAACCCAGTTCTCTCCAGCTTTGTTAATTACTGACACCTGATTTGAGTTATTCAGATATTATTTTTGTTTTTTTCCAATTTTTTATTCATTTGCTTTGATTGAGATGAAAACATTTGTTACAGTAACAACTTCCGTAATTCTTAGTTTATTTTAACCAACAATTACTCTTTCTGTTGACATATTTTTTCTAGAGAAAATACATTGTTGGATTGTTACTATGTTGTTCAATAGGTATCATAAACTTCCTTCTGTAAAAAATGAAATCTTATCATTTTGACCAAATTCTACCAACTCCAAATCCTTCAACCATCCCAGTAGAATGGGAAGAGTATTAAACTCCCTACTTTTAAGAGGTCAATGTTTTTAGATTCATTCAAACTCCTTTTTTTAATAAAACAGTTACTAAGATAATTAGCTTTGTTTTTTGCAGATGAACCAAAACACAGAGGTTAAAAATCCAGTTTAAACATCATCCAGACAGTAGATGGCTGAGATGGTAAATTGCTAAGCTCATTGTAGATACTAAAATAAATTGTGAAAAAGACAATAAACCAACAATATAAAATTATTTTAATATTAGCATCTAATAATGAAAAGCAAAAACTCATCACTGTAGATAATAAAGAGTAATCTGTGACACCGATATTTTAACTACATTATTGACCTAACCTGAAAGTATGTCAATGTCAATGACAGGTTTCAGAGTTAATATGTAAGATCAGCAGAGGAGACCAAGGCTGATGACAGGGCTAAAAATCAGTGACTCGTTATGATATGTGTAATATTTTTGCACAGCTTTTTGCCTGCTGATCAAAAAGCCAGCATGGAATTATATGGACATTGAATTTGACAATTTTTTATAATTCAAATCCCAAGAATATAGGTCTCAGTAATTTATTTAACTGATTCTAGTATAACTAATTTGCTCAGTTCCTGCCTAAAATGTAGATCTATGGTGTGAGAGAACTATTTACAAGAAGTCCAGTATAAATCTCATATGCACCCAAGTGTACAGAAGAAGATAAGTTCATACATTGTAGTGGGTTTTGATAAACTCCCTGACTGTATTTTAATAGTATTGTAAAAATAGAGGGGGTAGCGGTACGGGAGAGGTATTAAATTAAAGAAATATAGAAAGAATAGAAACTACTGTAGAACTCCCTTCTTACCTTTGTTTCTGGCCTAACTCCAGAAGCTTCTGAACATCGGTTTTGGAAGATTGCTCATCATTTTTCAAAGACTGGAAGAGAAATGAGGGAAAGACATCTTAGTAAGATAAAACATTGTCATTCACTTGTATTAATACTGTCTATATTTAGTATCAGGTTTGAAGGCAGTTGGTTTATTGAATGAACATATGGAAATTAGTCCCCTTGAGTATTGATGGTGCCAAGGATGCACACAGGGGTTCCTGATACACAGTAGGACACGTTCACCTCTTAGTACAGATATAGGTTTGAGCTCAGGCTCACCAGATATTGGAGAAAAGAATAATATTCTGCAAATACCTCATTTTCTTTTTTAAGAAAATCTTTAAAATTTTTATTTTCGGTGTGTGTCTGTGTCTATGTGCTCACCTAATGTGTGTGCTGTCAAACATGTTACAGTGGAGATCTGCAGGTCAGAGGACTGCTTTGTGCAGTTAATACTATTCCAGATTTACATGTGCTCCAAACATGAGACTCCAGCCACCAGGCTTAATTGGCAAGCACCTTAACCCACTGAACTATCTCATGTACTCCTCAGTCTCTTTAAAAATAAAATTTAAAAAATACCTTCTCTGGCTCCTTAATGTTTGTCCTACAATTTGAATTAGTTTTTGCATCATTACAACAGGTGAAAGGCCTCATAGAAAGCTTGTTTGCAGAGGTCAGGGAATAACCCGATTGAGGTTGAAAGCAGTCAGATGCACATGCTTGTTCATTCGTATCTATGCCTTATTTCTAAGTAACGTGTTTGGATGCATAAAGACAAAGGACCCCATGATTTTATGACTTGTCATTATACAAGGTATTAAGAAAATAATATATGACACTCGAGTCATTATTACTTATGTACTTGTAACTTAAATATTCAGAGGCCATAAATTAGAACAGAAATGTTCCCCAAGCTCTTCTTACACAAGAATCTTCCATATTAAACCTTTCTTAATAACTTTCTTATTTATACTCAGTAAACTGTTTAATAGTGTAACCTGTCATATTTGTTATTAAAAGTTTAAACACAGAGGCAGTAACAGTTTCTACAGAGTAGCTGTGAATGTTGGAAAATGACAAGATGTCACAGTGAATGTATTGTTCCTTAATGTTTATTTAGCAGACACCTACCCTGAATTATGCAAAGACTTGTAACGCATGCTGCTGCCTGAAGAGTGTTTCAGCACGGTGTTCAACAGAGTACTTTAATATAGTGTTAGCTTTACCAAATATACCTAGGGAATGAGCTGACAAGGACCAACTGAGAGTCTTTCTAGGAAGTATCCAGTAAGCAGTGCTCTATGTATTTAGGGAAAAGTTTCTTCTAACAAAGAGGGCAGTATAAGAAATTAAACTGGGAAATCTCAACAATCAGAAGTGTGACTGTTGAATGTACATCACGGATCCACTTGGATAGATTAAATAGTCAGCCCTATGATCTCTTCATTTAATAAAATAGTTATAAAATGCATAAGGGGGACATTTTCATTTAGGAGTTAACTCAGATGAGGGGAAGTAGAAAGACATTTAAAATGTGTTACAGATTATTGAGCATCACCTACATTGGGTGTTTTGAAGAAAATGCAGATTGGAAAGTCAGAGGATTCTTCTAAAAATTGTTTAAAACAAACAAAACAAAACAACAACAACAATGAAAACAACCTAGACATAGAGGTAGGGATATAAGTAAGTAGAGTGTGTAATTAAAGCAATAATTTAATAACTGGCTACACACACTGTTCAGCAATAAGAAACTTATGGATAGATAGATGTCAGCAAGGGGATAACCTGTGCAAGACCTATTTCACATAGTTACTTTGTCTTCATCAATATCCAGTGAGTAGTACACAGTTATTTCATGATGATTTTGACTCTTTTAGCGATAGGAAGGTAGATTTACCAACTTATTAACTAACATACTTATTGATCAACCTACATTCTCTTTCCACACAGGATAAAGTTATGAAGAGTGGTAGCCTGGAAATCTGTCTTGAATAGTTAAATTTTCTGTTTTTTATACCTTACATTAAAAACAAAATGAATATACAGAACAAACAATAAAATCTAAGCGGGAGCTGGAGAGAGTAGTTAAGAGCACACTCTCCTCTTGCAGAGGACCAGGGTTTGGTTCCAAGCATCTACAAGGAGGCTAACAACTATCTGTAACTTCAGTTCCAAGAAATCTAACATCCTCTGCTGGCCTCAACATGTACTGCATGCAAATGCGGTCCAGGATATGTGCAGGCAAAACATTCATTCATACAAAATTAAATAGACAAGCAAATAAATACTTTTAAGAAATAATAAAAAAAATACAAAAGAAAAGTTTAAACATAAAATACTAAAATAAATATATAAGAAAGACATGTTTGATGTATTGAGGAACTCTGCCATCTGGACAGTATATGCCTGTTATCTTGAATTCGGAGTGACTGTGATTACTTTCAACCTATTTACGCAAAATTGGGCCTAATAACATCATCTTATTGAAGACAGGATAAGTTTTTAATTTAGCTGTTCTGCTCAGTAGCTGGTAGAGTGCCTGCCTAGCATGTGGCAATCACCAGGGTCCAGCTCCAGTACGACTTAAACAAATGCTCATAGTAGGGTGCACAATGTGATCCCAACACTGAGGACCTGTGGGCTTGTGATCAGAAGTATTGCTTGTATTCATCATTGACTCCATAGCAAGCTCGAGGCCAGCATAAAAGCTACAGCGCATCTTAAAAGCAAACAAGGAACATAACAGAATTTGCCTAAGGTTGGTGAGAGAGGGTAGCTGCTAGTAATTAACTCCAATTTAACTCATCAGTTCACCAAGAAAAAATGCAAGAGTACCATTTTCTATATTTATATAAAAGAATGATATCATGCAATGCCACCAAAGAATTTAGTATATGGTAGGTGAATGCAATGTGTAAAGTCAGGCATCAAAGTACTTTTCTTTGTCTTATACTAGGTGGGATAGTTTCTATGGGCTGTTGCTAGTTCTCTATTTGGGGTGCATAGACATTTAGTTCACATTTCCTTAGGAAAAATCATACAACACATAGTTATATATTTAAGTTTGAAATCCAATATCACCCTTTGTTTATGAGAACGACTTACCCACATCCTGTGATCTACTTAAGTATTCGATCTTCACCTTATAATTAAAGAAAAACCATGCTAATTTTGTGGAGAGTTTGCTAAAAGGATTTATTAAGATAAACAGTGGAAAGCATCATATGTGTAATGTGCAACAAAGCAACAACCAAAAAAAATCATTTTCAAAGTTTTAGTAACATTTCAGGGAAGATTTTTATCCTTTGAAAAAAATATAGCACGATAGAAACTTTTTTAAAGCAACATGTTAGTTTATAAGGAGACACTTGGATTTAGGAAATGGTCCTGGGAACACTAATCACTGCCACTCCAGGGCATTTCACCATATGCTGGTATTATGATACACTCCTGTGCCAGGTGTTCGTTCTCCCGAGAACAGACAGGTGTCTTGATTATGCCTCCCAGGCTTGCTTACCTGTTAATTTTCTTCTCAGTAATCTGTGTCTTGGCTTTCCCAAATAAAACAAAATCAATCCATCACCTCTTGAATAATCCTATTTAGTTTTCAGAAATCTGATGCCTGGATACATAGCACTATTTCCCATGAACTACCTAATCCCTCTACCTGTCACCATGTCCTACAGCACAGTGGCTAGGTTTTACTCTTTCAACATGTAGCACAACTTCTGCATCATGAGTTTAAATGATAAGTTCAAATGCAGGCGCTGCTCATTAATTACCTGTATGCTTGTTCTAAACATTGCATTGGCAGCTAGAAAAAGATTAGTTTTTATGTGTCAATTAAAAATGAGCTATGGAAAGATAACCCAACAGATGAGCTGGAGCAAAGTCAATGAACTAGTGGCTGACTGTGCCATCATAACATGGCATCAATGTATCACGAAGTCCTTGAGGATCAAGATAATATACAGCCTGATTTCTATGGTATGTGGAAAGGCTCTGAAGCGAAATATCTTACATTTAAACTCTAGAGTCCTTAGTGACTTTCCAAAACAAATAACTTTCTCTAGACAATATTGTTTATGCAAGAAAAGTCAAATCAAGAGTACCATCTCCTATATTTATTAAAAGAATTATATCATGGAATGCCACTAAGGAATTTAGTATATGGTAGGTACTCAGTGAATCCAGTGTGAAAAGGCATACATTAAAGTACTGTTCTTTGTATCAGAATGTTGTGTCTCATAATGGTTTTGTATTCTTTTTTTTACCTTTGTGCAAGTGTTGTGCCTTCTGGTTTTGTGTTTTTAGCGGATTCCTGTGGGGTTGGACATGTGTGTATCTGTGTCCGTGTTTCTTGTGCTTTTCTTCTGGCCCCTTTCCTTCTCTTTGTTTTTTGTCCTATTCTGATTAGCTTGCTTTATATTATGCTTTATTTTATTATTCTCTTTAGATTCTGTTTGTTTTCACCCAAGAGACAGAAGGGGTGAATCTTGATGGGAGGAGTGGTAGGTAAGAACCTGTTGGTGTCAGGGGAGGAGAAACCTTAATTAGAATATACTGTCTGAAAAAAAAACATTTTTCAATTTAATAAAATGTATGTTCATGGGAAAAAACAAATTACTATCAGCTGTTTTTAAAGGATTTTTCACTGGGAGGTGGTGGCATGTGCCTTTAATCCCATCTCTTGGGAGACAGAAGCAGGCAGATCTGGTCTGCAGAGTGAGTTCTAGTACAGCCAAGGCTACACAGAGAATCCTGGTCTTGAAAAACCAAAAATCAACTGCCCCAAAAGATTTATTTTTTTAATTTGAAATAGACCTTTGTTTTGTTTTGTTTTGTTTTAAACATGGTTGTATGTTTGTATGACATTTTATCCATTTCTATAAAGAAGCTGTTCAAAGGATATTTTAGAGCTGTCCTAGGGAAAATCTAAAATTCTCTTCCAAATATCTCATTCCGATAATACCTTACCTTCTTATTTTATTATAAGAACATAGGGGTCAAATTGATCTTGGGACCTGGGAGGAACTAATGG